AAGAAACATTCAATCTGATTCTTAACAGTTCTAGCATTGCCCAAAATTCCAAGTACAAAGTCTCCTTTGAGACTCAAGGCAAACTCTCAAAATGAGCTGTAAATATCAAAAGCAAGTTACATACATCCAATATATAAAGGCACAGAGTAAACATTTCCATGTGAAGAAACAGGGGCATAGAAAGAAGGGATGGGACCAAAACAAGACTGAAATCCAGATGGGCAAACAAGTCCTACATTTCCATGTCCAGCATCTGAAGCACATGGYATCCTAAGCGCATGGCAGCCCACATGACCTATCTCTTAGCTTGCCTCTAATGGATTCCTGCAGCTCTCCTCCACAAAGRAGATTAAGATGGATTCCTGCAGCTCTCCTCCACAAAGGAGATTAAGATTAATCTCAGGAGTCTCCACTGCAGCTTCGGCTTCCTCCTCACAAGGGAACTCCAACCCTCCTGCACTTTGCCTGGCCTCCCAGGCCTTCCTTTGAAATCTTGGTGTAAGCATCCATGAGCCCTTAACTCCGAGCATCTTGCATTTCTGTAGAATCAGCACCACATGGTTGACACCAAGGTCTGCCACCATCTCAAGCAGTAGCCAAGCCTCCAGGGACCAAGGCTGCAGCAGCCTCTGAGTACCTCGGTGGCTGAGCATGTTGAAACAACTTCCTACCATCTGCTCCCTGCAAGCAGGGAAATCCAATGGTTTGTTCCTTCTCAAAGGAATTTTTATTTTTATGCGCTTGAACCTGAAATGGGTATGGTCTTGCCAATTCCTGAGAAGCCTTCAAGCCATCCTTCCTATTGTCTCTGGTTAAAGTATTTAGTGTTTCTGTAGTGAATGTGTTGTTTTTAATAACCATACCTTCCTTACCCCACTTTTACTCACAGTTTTCTGGCCAAGCTGCAAGTTTTTCAAATCTTTCTGCTTTGCTTTCTGCTCCTGATTATCACAAAAAACTTGGATAAAAGCCGCCAGCAATATCCATGAATATTACATCCTGAATACTATACTGCCTAGAAATTTCTTCTGCTAGGTTAAGAAATCCATCACCTTCAAATTTAGCCTCACAGAAAGTCTCAAAACATGGGCAAAATGAAGACAACTTCTTAGCCAGAACATAACACAAATGGACTCTAGTCCCATTTCCAATAGAGTCCTTCTTCTYTGAAAACTCTTGAACCCAGTCTTTACTGTATATAGTCCTATCAGCATTCTGGTCTTTTGAGCTCCCACCAGAATTGGCCATTAAGTTCCTCTCACAACATTCTAAAGTTTTTCCAGCTTACATTGCTAAACTTTCCTCCCACAAATCCCAAAAAGCTCCAAAAGTTTCTGAACCACATTAGTCTCAGCAAGAACCCTACTTCTCAGCACCAATTTCTCTTTTAGGCATAGCTTTTCTGCTGCTGTGACCAAAAGATCTGACAAGAACAATTAGAGGAGGAAAAGTTTATTTCAGGGCTCACTGTGTTAAGAGGTCTCAATCCACAGGTAGACCACTACATTCACAGGGTCCAAGGTAAAGCAGGATGTTACGGTGAATGCGGCAGAGGACAGCAGCTCAGGACATGGCACCAGGAAGCAGAGAGAGCTCCCTCAAAAAGGACAAAATATATCTCAAATGCACACCCTTAATGACCCACCTCCTCCATCCACGTCCTACCTGCCAATTTACCACCCAGTTAACCCCTACCAGGAGATTAATGCACTAATTAGATTAAGGGTCTCATAACCCAAGCATTCCACATCTAAACTTTCTTGCACTCTCTCACATATGAGCTTTTAGGGAACATATCACAATTAACCATAGCAGGTCTCATTTCTCCTATCTCTAATGTTTACCAACCTATACTCCCTAGCTGCTTTCAGCTATTGYTCAAGACAATTTTATAACCCTACAAGCTCCTAATCACTCTTGTTGACTAGAGACCTCAAAATTGACAGCAGAAACTAAATTCAAGATTCCATGTGTTCTGAGAGACAAACACTCTATTAAAAACTCTATCACAAATATCTTGGTATAGTCAGAGAGTCCTTTAGCAACTCTATGATACTGATTACTCATACTGACTGGGCCTTATCTATGAAAATACCTAGTAATTTTTATACATGATTATCTTCTTTCTGAAGATTCACCTCAGAAACTTAGCCTTATGAATCAAAAGACCTTATTAAGGATGTCCACTGTCATCATTCCTATTCAATATAATACCTGAAACTCTAGTCAGGGAAATTAGGCAAGAAAAAGAAGACAACTTGTCTCTATTTGCTAATGATGTGATCCATTTTAAAAATCCCCAAAACTCTACTAGATATCTAAGCTAATTAAAAAAAATAATCAGCAAAGTAGTGAGATATAACATCAACATACAAAATCAATAGCTTTCCTTTATTCTAATAATGAATCTGCTGAGAAAGAAACCAGGAAAACAATTTCATTCACAATAACCCCCCCCTCTCTCTCTCTCTCTCTCTCTCTCTCTCTCTCACACACACACACACACACACACACACAAAAGGAGTAAATCTAACTGAAGAGGCAAAACCCCTCTACAATGAAAATTACAGAAATTGAAGACAAAAAAAAGAAATTGAAGTAGACCTTAGAAAATGGAAAGACCTAACATACTCTTGGAATTGTCAAAATGGCTTTATTATCAAAAGTGATCTACAGATCCAATACAATCCCTATCAATATATCAATGACATTCTTTACAGAACTAGAAAAAAGTCCTAAAAATCTTATAGAAGAATAAAAAAGCCAGAATAGCTAAAGCAATTTTGAGCAATAAAAGCAATGTTGGAAAGCATCACAACACCTAATCTCAAATTACACTACATAACTACAGTAGCAAAAACAGCATTGTTTGGCATGAAAAGAGAAATGAAGATCAATGGATGAAATAGAAAACTCAGAAACAAATCCACAAAGATACAGTCATTTGTTACTCAACAAAGATGCCAAAAAAAAATACATTAGATAAAAGATAGCCTTTTCAACAAATGATGTTGAATATATGTAGAAGAATAACTAGAGTCCTATCTTTCACCCTGCATAAAAATTCAATTCAAAGTGAGTTTAGAAATTAGACCAGAAACACTGAAACTGCTAGAAGAAAACATAGTGTCAATACTCCAAAATACAGGCATTGAATTAATAAGACTCCTGATGCTCGGGAAATAAAATAAGAATCAATAAGTAGGATGGCATCAAATTAAAAAGCTTCTGCACAGCAAAGAAAATAATTMAGAGCATGAAGTAAGAACCTACAGAATGGGAGAAAAGCTTTGCTAGTTACTCTTCCAATAAGGGATTAATATCCAGATATATAAAGAACTAAAAAAAAAAGTAACACCAGAAAAACAAATAACCCAGTCAGTAGGCAAATAACTTATACAGACATTTCTCAAACGAGGACATACAAATGGCCAACAAATATATGAAAAAATGTTCAACATCTTTAGCAATCAGGGAAATGCAAATCAAAACTACACTGAGATTTTATCTCACTCCAGTGAGAATGGCAAGCATCAAGAAAACAATATTAAATGCTAGAGAGGATGTGGGAAAATGTAGACTTATATATTGTTGATAGAACTTAAAATTAATACAATCATTTTGTAAATAGTATGAACATTTCTCTAAAGGCTAGGAATGGAACCACCATACAATACATTTATCCTACTCCTTGATATTTATCAAAAAAAAACTAATATCAGCATTCAATAGGAATACATACATACCAATGTTTAGAGCAACACAATCCACAATAACTAAGTTATGGAACCAGCCTAGGTATCTATCAACAAATGAATAAAGGAAATATGGTATATATACACAGTGGAGGTTTACTCAGCCTGAGAAGAATGAAATTGTGTCATCTGCTTATAAATGGATAGAACTAGAGAATATTGTACTAAGTGAAATAATCCAGACTCAGAACAACAAGGGACTAGTATTTTCTCTGAGGTAGCAGTTAGAGAGGAAAAAATGGGAATTTCACAAAGGGGACCAATAAAGTATAGAAAGGGGATCAAGAAGGAGGGAAGAGAAAAAGGCATGGGGAAGTACTGGGGAATTCAATCTACCAATTATGCTATATCCATGTACAAACATACCACTATGAATCCCACTATTGTATGAAATTATAATGCACTAATTAAAAATAATAACAGAAGGGAGACCATTAGATCAAGGGGGGATCAGGTGAAGAAGGGAAGGAGAAGGAGAGGTATTAGGCAATAAGATTGATCAAATTACATTATGCACATGTATGACTATAGCATAATGAATTCCATTAAAATGTACCAATAAAAAATTTTATCTTGTTACATTCAGCTTTTATAACTTCTTTAGACAGACAGAAGATAACTTCTATCTTCTATACCCATAGAAGATAGATATAACTTCTTTAGATAGGCTTGAACATTGTAATCAATTCACTGAGAAGTATTTTACATTCTTYACAAAATTTCAATGATACTCAAGTCACTGAACAAGAGTTGAACAGGACTGTACCAAGGAGAAAGACCTGAGCTATATCACTAGAAGTCTTCCAAATACATCTGTAATCATTACTATCTTACAGCTGTTCAATTGGTTATTAATTCTCACTCATGTTTCCTTATTTTTCCATGAAAAWATTGAGAGAAACTTATAAAATATATCACTAGAACCTGAAGAAATGAAATATATGGCTTTTTCTGGTCTTTCAGCCTAGGAAACACTATTAGAATAATATTGCTCTGCCACTTTGGACCGTAATGAGGACCACATCTAAGGATGATAAAATAAGAATATGAAATGAAACTGTTTCTCCAGCAACCTTCTGGAGCTTTCATTTCTGGGCTGTCTATTGCCAGAATTTTTTAACTGAGAGAAATAAACTATTTTATATAAAAACCAAATAGACAGTATTATTTCAATAGATCTTAAATGCAAGAATCCAAGCCTGGAGAGAAAAAAACAAACCAAACTACATGGTATTTTTTTCTTTGAAACAAGTTTAATTTTGTTCCAGCCCCAAATAAGGGGAAGAACTTAAATCTTAAAAAATGCTCAAAAATCAAGCCATTAAAAAGTTAAGCACCCCTCCCCTTAGCAATAAATACTGAACTGATATATACATATTAGACTCAGGACGGAGACAAAAAACAGGAACCTTGGGGACCCTGTCCCATGGCAAGATTCTAACACTTCTACCAATTCTAAGCTCTTTGCTTAAAACAGCAGTCAAAAAGTTAAAAAAGRCAGGAGAGATATATCATGAGACTATGTGGCTCTGAGCTGGAACATGATGGGAGAAAAAAAAAGGAGACACAAAATATCTTATTGGGCAGGAAAAGGGAAAGTCTTCATTTAAAATACTCCCTCCCCAAACCCCTCAGAGTCATTGGATGTGGCTGGTCCAGTGGCCGAGTGCCTTGAGCATATATCCTCGCCTCCACTCCCTCTTCAGCATGCAAGTCAGGAGAGGTCATTCACACTGCGGTCGAGAGGCCACTGTGGCAGCAGCCTGGCTGCTGGAACCCTGAGGCTTTCCATTCACCACCAGCAGGAGGGGAGTCTCCACACGAATACTGGAAAAGGAATAGTCCTAGAAGACAGACAGAGGTTGATTATAGAACCTAAGGCAGAAAACACTCCATCACCTGGCAACACCACGGGCAACTTACTCTCCCACTGGTCCTAYGTATACACCCCTTACCCAAATCTTTCACTAGAAAAAAAAACAGCTAACAAAGTAGACATAATTTTTCCAAAGTTCCAATCATCAGAAGGAAAATCTGGGCAGGGAATGTAACTCCAAGAATACCAAATTCCTTGCTCTGCCTAACAAAAAAATGCTATCAGCTCAGAGTTGGTCCTTCACCAGCATCTTCTGACAGGTAACCAGATACATACAGTAGCCAACCAGAGCCACTGGAAACTCTTAACTGTTAGCCCAAGTGTTTGTAWGGCCCTAAACTAATCTGCCAAGAAAAAATTAAAGTGACTCCTCCCTTTTATATCAAGAGGAAGGAATAGACCAAGAAATAGAATGTCACCTTTGTCTTAATAACAGAAAAGATATCAGCTCACTTTCCCTGTTCAAATGTATTTTAAGTTGTAAAATCCACTTGAATCAAACCGTGTAATATGATGTATTAAGAACTATGTAATGTTATGAACGACCAATAAAAAAAAAAAAAAAATTAAGTTGTAAAACATGTTGCTAAAAGATCCTCATCCAAAAAACATTATTCCACTGACAGTGTGAAATCAACTCTYGTAAATAAAAGTAAAATAAAGAGTTCTCATAAATCAAATTTTTAAGAAGTTCTAACAAGAATATGTGCAAGCAACAACAAAAAAGACAATTTATAGAAGAAACATAAATAACTCAATAAACATATAATAAAATATTCAAACTCACAAGTAATCAATAAACCAATTAAAACAGTACCCAGTATTGGGAAGAAACTACACAGAACACCTATATCCACTGTTGGTAGTTAACAACTAACTAGTACAACCTTCCAAAGAATAATTTGGCAATATGTGTCAAAAACCTTTGAATTCTATATACCCTTTACACCCAAAAATCTACATTAAAAATTCACATCAGGAAATAATCATAGATACAGACAAAGATATTAAAATGTTCATTATTTTTATGTTTGGAAAAATTTAAAATAATCTAGATCTGGGGTAATCAAACTCTGTTAAAGAGGTAGATAGTAAAAATGTCAGGCTTGCTGGGTTATGGGGTCTGTTGCAGAACAATTCATCTCTGGCATTCGGATGCAAACAAGTAAGTGTGGCTGTGTTCCAATAAAGCTTAATGGACACTAACCCTTGAATTTCCTGTAATTTTCATGTATCACAAAATATACTTTTTTCCTTTTTAACATTTAATAATATAGAAACTATTCTTAGCTCACAGGCCAGATAACAATAGGTGGTGAACCAGATTTGGTCAGCATAACATAGTTTGCTGCCTAAATGATGAAAACATGGTTACATGCCTACTCTTATAAGGTTTTTGTAAAGAATCAGATCAGGCAACATAGGCAATAAAACTCCTAGCAGTGTCTAGCACTCAGTTAATTGTTCAATAAATGTTAGCTACCATCATCATCACTACTCCTATGACTGAATTCAAAACAATGTAGTGGAATATGTAAAAACAAGGAAAATATTCACAAACATTGGCATGTAATATCCCATACATAATTTAAAAGTAAAATGTGTGCATATATTTCTGAAAAGGAAAAGAATTGGAGCTATGTACATCAAACTATTGACAGTAGTAAATCTCCATGACAATATTTCAGTCAATTTTTAGTTTCTTTTTGTTTACCATAGTTTCCCTTTTCTATAACAAAAAGGGAACAGAGCATAAACATMCAAATATTTACCATACCCACACAAATATTTACCATACCCACACATATTCACACTTTTATGTGTATTTTTTAAAAAGAGATAAGCTTGGTTCCATTTTCAGAGTCTATGAATTGCAAGAGAATCCAAGTCACTACTCACCTTTCCTTTGTGCTGAATTTGGTGAAGCCGCAAGTTAGGCTCAGGGATGGCTACGGAGTCCCCAATGAGCACTCCCCAGCTCTGCACCATATTATACACCATCACCGCATAGCAAGGTCCATCTGAATCTACTAGGCCAAATGTACTGCCAGGTTAAGATAGGAGAAAAGGGAAAAAAAAAAAAAAAAAGGTATGTGGGCAGGAAAGAACAGAAACAGTGGTTTTAAAATACTAGCAAAATAAACAAATGCTGGCCCCTCCCCCAGTGCCTGAAAGCTAGGCGAACCTGCAACCCACGGGCGGGTCAGGCCCAGCAACCTGCCGAGCGAGAGATCAGCTACGCACGCCTGCAGGGAACGCGGACAGGACCCACAAGTAGGACAGGGCCAGCGGCTTGCTGAAGGGCAGGCCTGTCCCCTCCCCCAGTGTCTGCAAGGTAGGCGGGACCCTGACCAGCGGCGGATGGCCCCAGCGGCCTGCTGAGGGGTGGAACCGGCCCCTCCCCCAGTGCCTGNAGAGATGGGAGTAAGACTGACTTGGAAGGAGAATGAGAGAACTTCCTGGGGTAGTTGTCATGATCTCCATCTTGGGTTATAAAGATGCAARCATTTGTCAAAACTCAGCAAATGTGCATTTAGATTTGTACATTTCATTGCAGATCTATTTCACATAAACAGAAAATAATGCAAACAAATACTGACCTCAGTTAAAGATTGTATGCTAAAGTATTTAGAGAAAACTATACTGATTCCTGCAATTTACTCTGAAATGCACCAAAAGTAAAATGGATAAATGGATAAATACACAGATGTCATAAACTAATAGCAAAACATTAATGGTACAACATAGGTAGTTGGATACATAGATGCTTACTGTAAATTTCTTTCAACTTTGCTGTATGTTTGAAAATTTTTAGAAGGAAATGTTAGGAGGAAATTTAGCTATATTAAGAAGAAGCTGTAGGCTTATTCAGAAGTATAATTGTGTGTAAGGCACAGAGGTATGAAAATAGCTGTTCTTAAACTTACAAAATAGTGCTACAGTTAGAATGAAAGGTACATGTGGGAAAGTGACAAAGATTATGAAAAAAGAAAGAGCAAATCCTAAACTAAGCTAGAGAGTTCAAACTTTATTCTGAAAGCTACAGAACACCAGTAAAAAAATTTTAATAGAAAGTGGCAATGTTCAGATTTTCATCTGGATTTTCTGGCAACTCTATGGAACACTGGAGGAAAAGTCGAGTCAGGGAAATGTGTTTGGAGAACAGGCTGAATTAAGGTAGTAGAAAGAGAGAAGTAGGAACAAAACCAGCAAATGCATAAGACCTGGTGACTACTTCAAACAGAATGGAAAAATCTAAAAATTACTTTTAGAAGTGTTAATTTTGTGACTGAGTAAAGAGATGGTACCATTCACCAACAGGGAATTCAAGGAAGAGGAGCAAGTTTAGAAATAATGATTAGAAACTGTGATTGGGCAAAGGAAGGGAGGGGAGGAAAGATGGTAGAATGAGATGGACATTATTACCCTAGATACGTGTACGATTGCACATGTGGTGTGGTGCTACATCATGTACAACCAGACAAAAGAAAATTTGTGCCACAGTTGTGTACGATGAATCAAAATGCATTCTGCTGTCATATATACCTAATTAGAATAAATTAATTAATTTTTTTTTTAAAGAAAGAAAGAATAAGAATTTTGGTGGCGGGGTATTGGGGATTGAACTCAGGGCACTKGACCACTGAACCACATCACCAGCCCTATTTTGTATTTTCTTTAGAGACAGGGTCCCACTAAGTTGCTTAGCACCTCACTTTTGCTGAGGCTGGCTTTGAACTTGCAATCCTCCTGCCTCTGCATCCTGAGCCGCTGGGATTATAGGTGTGCGCCACCATGACCAGTCAGATGAGAAATTTTGAACACACTGAGTTAGAAATTTTAAATGAAGTCCAGAAGCAGTCAGATAAAGGGATGCAAAACCCAAAAATTAGGCCTTGCTGAAGATATACCTGTGAGCATGGAGGAAAYAGCCATAGGCTTGGGTTCATATGACATCACCAAGCAAGATAAACTATAGATAAGATGCTGACAAATCAGTGCTCATGCCAGTACATAGCATGCTTGAATTCACAGGGAACACTGCAATCAAGCATAGTACTCTCCTGATGAATCCAGTCAAAGCCTCAGAGTCTTTCTATAGACTACGTCAGACAATCACCAATCAATGTAGGCAAACATCCCATGGCATAGGAGTCCTAAAGAAGCTAACATTTAGAAGTTGGGCAAAGAGAGAAACCAAAAAGTGGCAAAACATTTATATATTCTCAAAGTTTCCTTAAAATTTACCCTTTGTCTATATCTTTTTCATTCCTCTCAGCTCTAAGGTGTGCTCTCATTAACTAAACTTTCCTCAACAATCTTCTTGCTCTTCAATTCATCAAATACACATACTTCTAGAAAATGCCAATGGAGAATGCTCAGGAATGTAATGGGAACTGTTTTTCAGATTGGATGGAACAGAAAGAATGTGAAAGACGACAGTGAAAGATAAGTCAAATGTTATAAAATCATGTAGTGAAGCCAATGAATCATGTGCTTAGAAAAACTCTGGTAATTCCAGAAAATAAACCATTTCAGTAGAAACAAAAGAGAGACAGTCAAGAAAGGATTAGGAAGTGAGTGAAGAACAAAGGAGTGATGGCACTCACTAAAGCCTAAGTTTTCAAGATTTAAATTTTTCTAAATGAATATTCTTAATTCATTCCTTTGCTATCATTAGCCTAAGTCCTTTATAAATTTTTTTCTCACTCCTCATAACAAATACARTATATGCTCAATAAATATTTGTTGAATGACAAATCTGGGAAAATCTCCCTATAATCTGGCCTTAAGTTCCAACTCAAAGTTCACCTTCTGGAACTACCTAAGAAAATCTAAGTCTAAACAGAACAGAATTTGTCCTCCTTCAATTCTATAATCATCAAAACTCAAAGGAGGCAGAATTTTAAGATTTCTGTATCTTATTTTAAAAATGTCCTGTTAAATTTGTTATAAATATAGGAATTCACAAAGCACCAAACTCAGGGGGAGAAACAGGCATACAGAAACTATAAAGGCTTCTGCCAAGGATTGTTAGATATCACCTAGACAATTTTTGCTTGTAGAACAGAAGGGAATGAGAAGTCAGTAATTTGTGACCATTAACAATGCCCTCAAACTGTCAGGGAAAGGACAAGAAGTGAGAGCAATTAGTTCAAAAGGGAGAAAAAGAGAAAAGGCAAAAGACACTCACAAGGGGACTTTCTCCTCTGTGGTTAGGCTAAACACCACCTTTCCCAGGACCACAGCACCACTATTTACACCAGGCTTCAGCTCACTCAGAGGCTTGAGCTGCAGGGTCACCTTCTGCCCAGAGGCTGATTGATAGCGACCATCACCACAGGGGCCTAGGTGGGCAGGACGCAAGTTTCCCAGCATGCTCTGTAGCTTTTTCACCTTCATCTTTCCCTGCAAAGGAAGGAGAAATAGGAAAAAGTGAAAATTATTTTTGAGTTCAGTCCTTCCCTCTCACCCACCTATTTTAATGGGGTCACTACCACCTAAGTCTATTCTTTTCTTATTTTTTGACCCCTAGCAGAAAAAAAGAGTAGGCTTCAGCCCTTATTATACATCTTTACCTTGCTTTCCAGGAGGATGGTTAATCTATTAAGGAATTCCAGGAGTTGTTGCTCTCGTTGCTGGGGCTCTGGCCAGGCAGGGTCTAGTGCTGCAGCCCGAGAAAAGCCCTCCAGGGCCTCTCCATAACTCTCTTCATATTTATGTAACTGTACAAAAAGTAGTCCAAAACTTCCCAATTATAAATATGTCCAAACTATGCAGAGAGAATAATGCCACAATGAGTTAGGAGCCTGGAGAAATAAACTGTTTTACTTCCCAATTATTTTCCTGTCCTACCATGAATATCATCCTTCTTGGCCAAGGTGATAGCAATGACGAAGATGAAATTACTTCAAAGATGAAATTATTACAAACTCTAAATAAAAGGTGGCATATATTGGGTCACTCTACTTTTACATTTATTCTTTTTTTTCCATTTGCATATATTTATTTATTTTTTATTGGTTGTTCACAACATTACAAAGCTCTTGACATATCATATTTCATACATTAGATTRAAGTGGGTTATGAACTCCCAATTTTACCCCAAATGCAGATTGCAGAATCACGTCGGTTACACATCCACAATTTTACATAATGCCCTATTAGTAATTGTTGTATTCTGCTACCTTTCCTATCCCCTACTATCCCCCCTCCCCTTCCCTCACATCTTACTTCAAAGTCTTCTAAACCATCTCCCCATTTTCTATGTACTCACCTACCTCCCAGCCCCTCTCTCTCTTTAGTGATTCCATGGGATACTAAAGTCAAATTGAGCTAACTAGTTCTAGAAATAATTTGGCTTTCCTCTCACAGTTCGAACTGAACTTTGTCCATATGTATACTCAGTTATCCTCACAGGCCAAGACCTATAATGTCTTTTTTATTTAACCTTCCTATGACTACTGTCCCATGGTCTTACCGTTGCCCTGTTCAGATGAAGGTCAGGATTGCTAGAAGCTTTCCCGTCAACCTTCTCCTGTAATGGGATAAAAAGATCATCGGTGGATCCTGCCTCAATCTTAAGGATAGCCATACATATGACATCCTAGACCTCTTGTTCCTAGAAAAAATTTAGTTTCTTGCCAAAATATTACCTATACCTACACTACTATACAATTGTTCCTTATATATGTTCCTCAGTCTCTCAATCTCTCAAACCTGAGGGATGTAACAGTGTTTATATACGTAAAACTTTCAAATATGGTTTTAGTTAATCCACACAGTACTATAAAGACAGAATATGAAGAAATATGTGAACACATTCTGATTATAATTTTTAGTAGTAATATGCTGGATAAATGAGGAAAGCCTAGCACAATATGATATGATATTGATTTAATGCATTTCTTCTGCCCATGAGCCTGGCTCCAGACCCATGCAGAATCATGTTCCTACATCTAAACCCCCTTAAAGCACAAATGGAAAGTCAAATTCTGATTCTCTAAAATACATCGCCAGAAACCAAAGGACAGTGCAAATGTGCTGTGAAGAAACTGATCTGTTCATTTGTTCATTGCATTAATTGCCTGTCATACTACAAAAGCACAAACAACATGAATTAAAATTGTTTAAATGATTAGTTCAGATATGTTTCAAAATGTGGATTTAGGAGAAGAAATTAAAGAGTTAAGAGCAATTGGCAGAAGTCAAATATAAAAATGCCATAGTATTCTGTAAAATGCAAACATTCACAAAGTTAAGAAATTAGAGTAAAATATAAATCTCTAAGTTTCCACACTGAAAAACGGACAGTCCTTGAACACAAACATGAATATAAGGGAAATATTTTCTTTGTTTTGCCACAAAGATCAAAACAAGTAATGATAGGTTAAAAAGCAGTTCTCTATATCAAAGAATTCATGAAAGCAAAGAAGAAAGATGAACATGAGAGTCAAATAAGAAGTGCTCAGAAGGCCAATGTGAATCTCCTAAAAATGAGTAATCAGGTATCCAAAGCCTGAAGGAAAGACCCATGTAAAAATGGCCTGGAAGACTAGGCAAAGAATGAGCTCCAGTGAATTAATTCTAGGTAATGATGCAGAATAGACTATATTCTATTTTCTCTTTTAGCCTACAGGAAATCCAGAGCCACACTGTCTACTAGTTAATGTGGGGGTAGTATTTAAGCGTTAAAGAGTTTTCTTCTTTCTTTAAAATAAATGTGTACAATTAATAAGCATTATTTTAATAGTCTTTTTTTCCCATTAAAAAATATAAACAGATTGAGACATCTTCTGTGATTTGGTTATACATGCCTCTACAATATCTAAATAGCTCCAGGAACTATCTAGCACTAAAGCATCACGCTGCAAGTAGCTCCTAACACTCACATTATAAGAAGAAATAAGTTATTTGTGCAAACACAGTTTTACAAACATAAGAAACCAGATAATACTTCACATGCTACTTGCCAAAGGACCATAAGAAAGACTGAATGATGCTCTTCCTTCTGTGATTGTCTCTATTTACTTGAACCTAAGTGACCACAAGTACTTACTGCTTGGGCATAGGCACTGAGGGCTTGTTGGGAGATCTTAGGGTTCTGGCCAGTATTGAAGTATAAAGAAAGGTATGCATTCCCCAGAATATCTGAAAGAAAAACAGCAGTGGATCATCTCTGAGCCCAAATCCGGGATATGACCTATTCTGTTAACCCCTAAAAGTCTATTTCAGCTAGACACAGTGGCATATGCCTGTAATCCCAGKGGCTCCGGAGGCTGAGGCAAGGGAGTCACAAATCCAAACCGAATCTCAGCAACTTATTAAGGCCCTAAGAAACTTAGAGAGACCCYGTCTCTAAATAAAAACAACTGAGAATTTGGAGGAACTGTGATTGGGCAAAGGGGAGGGAGGGGAAAATGGGGACAGGAAAGACGGTAGAATGAGACAACATCATTACCCTAGGTACATGTATGACTGCACATATGGTGCAACACTACATTGTGAACAACCAGAGAAATGAAAATTTGTGCTGCAATTGTGTACAATGAATAAAATGCATTCTGCTGTTATATATACCTAAATAGAATTAATTAGTTATTTAATTTTCTTAAAAAAAAGAAAAGAACAGAACGAGGATTTGGCTCAGTGGTTAAGCACCCCTGGGTTCAATTCCTAGGACCAAAAAGAAAGTTCAATTCCTAGGACCAAACCAGGATGACACTATATTTAGTATGACCAAAATTCTTGCAGGACAGATAAACATGAACACCCTACCCCGCATCCCCTTGAAGAGAAACTTGAATAAACTTTACAAAAGCCCTACTTGCTTATGTGGAAGCATTTGTCTCCTCCATTGAATCAAAAGATCCAAGAGTACAGGTGAGGGGTTCAGTGGTAGAGCACATGCCTACTATGCACGAGGTCCTGGGTTCAATCCCCAGCACCAGCACCATACAAAAAAAAGAAAAAGAAGAAATCAAAGAATAGTGGTTCATCAAAATACCTTTTGGGCTTCTTTAAAACAAGATGCYCTAGTTTACCTTACAGTCAAGATTCAAGATAGGTTCCAGGTGATTTAGGTATGTAGCCATGATTGAGAACCACAACTCTAGAAACCTAGAAGATCTCTTGAGAGCACTCACACCAGGAGCGGCCATCGAGGACATCCATCTGCACAGCCAACTTAGCTTGCCGAACACTGTCCATGACATGGTTAGAATGTTCATCTCCTGTGTCAGTCCGCAACTGGCGAAGCACCATTGACAGGTTTTGCAGGGAGACTTTGTTCTTGCACTGCAAATTTAAAAAAACATAACACTCAACCTTCCTGATTCTACCTTCTCTTTCTAGATCTATTCTGACTTCAATCTTCTCCTAAATCTAATTTTTCATCTTAATTCTTGCCATCTGCATCTGGGATGCCAACAACAAGGATTAGCTTGGTTGCTCACTTTTCTTCACTTCTTATCTACCCCTGAATTTGATCCCATCACCTTTTTCCTTTCTCAGTTCCCCATCCCTGATTTCCTCATCCAGGTGGCTCCTTTACCCTTCTGATTATGTTCTCCTAGTTCAAACTTAGCTCTGATTTATTATTAGAGTCCTAGAGAAATTCACAGAACCAAAGGAATTCCATCCTTCCCATCTGTGTTTTCTGAGGGGATGGTGGGCAGCTCACATGGGTGAGGGCTCCTGAGAAGCAGGTGTGGGCAGCTGCAACATCCCCTTTCTTCCAGTAGACCTCACCCAGCTGGTTCCAGGCTTCCACCAGCTCAGGTTCCAGCTTCACAGCCTTTGACAGAAGCTCCTCAGCCTTAGGGCTATAGTCAGGAGTCACATTCAGTGCCTTCCCTGTTAGCATCAGAGCCTGTGCCTTGCCCTGGACAGAACCTAGGAAGAAAAGAAAAAGATAAAGGAAAGTTGAAAAGCCTGAGAAGTGGGAAGACCAGGGTACTGTCTCTCAAGAAATAACAGCATGCTAGCTCTAGGAATGGAAGGAGTTGAGGAAAATTTTTAACAGTGATCCACTTACTGAAAGCCTATTATATGGAGAATACTATGTTAGRTATTGGGTAACAAAGCAAGCAGTATTTCTACCTTAGAAGGCTTTCACAATCTGGTGAAAGAAATAAAACTTAACACATGGAAAATTAAAATAACAATGAAAAGCAGCACAGGGTACTCACTCAATGAATGGGCTTTAAAAAGTAAAGAGAAAAGAAGATAAAATGAAGGGAAGGGAGGGGGAATGTGAAAAGAATAGCATCAAATAAATCTGATATAACTTGCCTATGTAYATATTTGAATATACTACAGTGAATCTCACCATCATGTACATCCACAAGAAATTAATTTTAAAAATTAATATAGGTAAATGGCAGAAAGATCAGTAAAGGGAAGTGTTAGGTCTGCAGATTTCCCTTCCTCCTCCACTTTCATAGTGGCTGGGGGTAGGGACTTTCTACCTGGCTGAGGAGACCTGAAATGGCCAATCATAAGCTGACATGGCAACGGACCCCAACCACCATGGTTCCCCAGCAGAAGAAATTGCCCTGTCATCTCACATCAGCCCTGACCAGCCTGTGATAGACATAACCCCCCTAAACTCAGCTCCGCCAATCTGCTGTCAGTAGCTGCAATTTAGATGGCCTAGGCCCTCCTACCTCCAGATTCCCTTATTAACATTGTTCTTGTCTTTCCCATGGTGACTTCCCCGGCCCTCACCCTTTAGCTGACCAGTGAACCTCCCGAGGAGCCCCCCCACCCTATAAACTTTCTTTTGGTGCCTGATTCTTGTTCTGTGGTTCCTGATCTTGCACACACCCCTTTCTGCTTTACAGGAAGGGAACTGGATGTCGAGGGAGGTATTGGAGACTGAATTTGAACAACATATATCCCATGTTTTTATAATTATGTCAAAATGGATTCTACTGTCATATATAAAAGAACCAATAAATTTTTTTTTAAAAAAAAGATTCTTCCTGTTAGAAAATCATATAAACAAAAATACATGTGGTATGTTCATGCAAGCATGAGTATTCCAACCTGGATGAAACAAAAAGTTCCTTGATAAACAAGTAGTCAGAATTAAAGTTAGAAAAAAGAGTGAGATGATGGACACTTAAATATGAGGTTAAGGGGGTTAGACTTCAGACAGTCAATAGCAGGAATCTTTAGACACTTGAGCAAAAAGACAGATAAGAGGGGGCCAATATGGTGGTGCACACCTATAATCCCAACTACTTAAGAGGCTAAAGCAGGAGCATCACAAGTTCAAGGCCTGGGCAACTTAGCATCTCAAAATTTAAAGAAACAAAAAGAGTCAGGGGTCATAGCTCAGTGGTACAGTGCACCTGGCTCAATTCCTAGTACTAGTGGGGGGAAAAAGCCAGCCAAAAGAATAAGATTAAATGCCATTAAATAAATGAAGTAATGAGTTAGAAAGATAACTATGGCCAAGGTCAGTATATAAGTTGATCTGGAAGTAAAATGAATTAAAGACAGAAAGATCAATTAAGGAGATTACCACAATACTTCAAGCAACAAGTTTGATATAACAAAACCTTAGGAAAACAGCTTAGGGACTGAAAGCTTAATATCCTGCACAAGGGTCCTTAGAAGAAACAATCTGTTCTACCAACCCATAAATGCCACCAACAAGAGACCAGGCTAAATAAAGAGACAAAACTCTATCACATTTCAATGACAAGCAAGGGGCTGCAAGTTCTTTACARCTCATACCCAAGTTCTTTACAGCTCATACCCAATTCCTCCATCTGCTGCAGGGTCTTCTCCATCTCCTCCCGTACATCCTGTTGCTTCCGCCCAGCATCCTCAACACTATGTGTCTCAAAATAGCTATCTCGAAATGAATAGAGCTGATCCACCAGTTCCTAGAAGGCAGAAGAATAGTACCATTAAGTGGGGAGAAAGCATCTTACAAGGAAATTTGAAAAGGACTAATCATACTAGCTCTTGGCCTAGAAATACCGATTCTCTTCTCTCACCTAGAATGGCACAATAGGCAGATGGACAGGTCTACTGAAACGCCACAAATCATGAGGAAAGCAGCCAGTATCCAGGGCCCACTTTCAAGGTCCCAACTTGTCCCATGTCAGTCTCTGTACTATAAAGACAATTCTTTCTCCCAGCTCCAATAGGGCTTCCAATATCTAAGCACTTCCCATACCATAGTCAGGAGGAGGCAAACACTTTGCAACTTAAGAAAAACCAAAGTTAACAAGATTATTCTGTCTGGTTCTGGCCCCCAAAGACTAAAACTTTCAAATATACCCTTAAAGCTGGATTTCCTAAGCTTAGTGGCAGAGTACTTGCCTAGCAAGGAGAAGGCCCTACATCCGATCCCCAGCAAAGCAAAAAAATAAATAAATAAAATATTTTAAAATCTAGACTTCCTAACAAAAAACACTTTATCCCCAATTTTTCCTATGTTGGTATGTGAAAACAAATGACCTTTCTGAATATGATAAACATGTGAGAAGGGCATTGTTTTCCACCACAAACAGTCCAATGTGAACTTGGTAACCTTGGTATTTTTGCAGTGTTTTGTTTCTTTTGCAGCACTGGGGATTAAATCAGGGTTTCGTTCATTCTAAGCAAGCAGCTCTACCACTGAGCTACATCTGCAGCCCTAAGGTTTTGTTTCTTTAAATGATTATTGTGGTTTGTTTGTTTCCCATTTCTTTGTTTTTTGTCAAGTCATCTTCTGGCTGTCTGGCATTATCTGCAAGTAAATGTTCTCTTTCCTCCTTGAAATGTCTCTGAATCTTCCCGTGGAACTTTTTCACTATTTTTTTTTTCCTGAAACTGAATAGCAGCAGAAACATACAGACCAACCCAATCAAGTTTTATCAACTCCCGCCACAAGACATCCTAAATTCGTCCACCTGTCTCCATCATGCTATGCCCATCCCAGACTAAAACAGTTTCAGTACTTGCCTGTACTACTGTAATAGCTTCTTACTAATCACTATGATTCTACTCTCTTCCATTCTCTATACTGTAGTCAGAGTGACCTAATAAAAATATATATCATATCACAAACCCTAAGTTTCCAGCTGCAGATAGAATAAAATCCAACTCCTTACCATGGGTTGCAACATTGGATGATCTGACCTCCCACAACCCAACCAGCCAAAAATTCCACTTCCTACCACCCTCCCTCCTATAATACTCAAGTCATATTAGCCATCATTCAGTTCTCAAAGCCATCAAGCTTGATCCCACCTTGAGATCTTTATATATGCTTTTCCCTATGCCTAGACACTCTTTCCTCAGAACTCTGCATGAGTCATTCCTCATCATTACTTAGAGTTCAGTTCAAACACCAGCTTCTTAGAACTTTCCCTAACTATCAAAATCAAACTAATCTCCCACACTATTAAATCACTCTTTTACTTTTCTTTATAGTACCTATCATTTGAAATTATGTGACCTATTCATTGTCCATTTTCTGTCTCTACCACTGGAATATAAGCTCCATAATGCAAAGGACTTTGCTTTGAGTTACACCAGAGCATTAGAACACGGATTGGATCATGGTAGACTCTCATTAGGTATGTTGACTAAATTGATATATCATACCTGTTTCTAACAAATACATGTGTTATATTTAATTTAAAATCCTACTCAGAATAAAAAGCATGGATTAGCTGCAAATTGGGAGTTTAAAACAAGGTCTTTCTATTTATTTTCAGTTTGCTAAAACAAACATGCAAGAACTTGTTTGGTTTTGTTTTGCTGGACTGAACGTTTTTCTCTCATGGCAATATCAATACCTACAATTTGTTAAAATTCAAATAGGTGTATGCAAAAACAGAAGGTAAAAAACTTACAATCGCTCCAAATAGCCTCAGATAGCCTCAGGGATAATCTGTGTTTAGTATACTTTTTCAGAAATACATATATATGATGTTTCTAATATGGAGCCAGGATTGGGAATTTCTGACTTCAGGCATCACAGGAGGGAATAAAATGAAGTTAATCCAAATCAGCTGGAAGTGACTTAAATCCACACTCTAAAAGTGCTATTATGTTACCTGCTCAGAAAACAAATCTCATCAATGCTTAAAACTTTTGGGTTTGACGCCTTGAAGCAAGTTACAAGCCTGTCATAAACTCTTAATGTTCACATTTCAGTCTGTTTCTGAGGTTTAAAGAAATTCTTAGGTCATTAAATGAAAGGTAGAATCAAGAAACTACATAACTCCTACCTACCAAGTACAATAGTAAAAAGAACAAGTACCTGTGGACTAGGGTAAAGCCTGAACCCGTCTGCAATGAATTCCAAACTGGGACTACAGCGGTCAAAAAAATATCCAAACCGTGAAGTCCTAAGGAAAGGAACCAGGATATTTGCAGTGCAGGCCATTACTGTGATTGCTGACAATCTCAAAGCAGAAAGGTATTAAAAGAAATGGCCTTTCTAGGGATAAAACAACACATGATAATGGTTCATGCAGACCTGCCACACACATAAATACGCTTTCACGGAGGAATCTAGAGGGGCGGGGGAGTTCCTCTCTAAGAATGTACAGGAGTACAGTCAGGAGCAACAATTCCCCTTCCGCATTCACAGCGGCAGCACCGGGTGCTAGCACACGGGCTGCGTTCCTCTCCTGGACGGGAAGCTTCCCTGGCCGCTGCCAGCAGCACCTCGGGAGTTGTTATAGTAACCGCACAGACGCGTGCAGCACCGAGTATGAGCCGTGGAATTCGCAAGCACTGCATAAAATGGGCTCCCTGCTTCTTCCCGAGTAACAAAAGCACACACAGATTTGAATCTGTGGCCTCACCTGTAATTTCTGCAAGATGTGCTTAGCTTCTTCCTCTTCCTCAGCCATCATTCCCCAGCCGCACTCGGCTTCTCTGCCCTCAAGTTTGTAATCACAGAGACGCACACACACGCCCATCGCGGAGCCACAGCGACATCTAGGGCTCTGGAGGCTAACCTGCACATAAAGGGCATTGATCCAAACCGACTTGAACTAACGCCTAAAATAGCTCTTTAATCACCTTTGAAATCAAAAATTTCTTTCCCAAATTCTGAGTAACAAAATGTCCTAAAATTAATCACATGTGCATTTTTGTTTGATATCTTCCTACTTATTTATATCAAGATTATAATACTCCTATAAAAGAAGACAGTTTAAGACAGTGGAATGCCTGTGCCCTTTGAAATTTTGAAGATAATGTAGAACAACGGTAACGTCTGACTCTTTTACAAACTTTGCAGATTTTCAAACATATGAGTAATCTCATCATTTGGAATGCACTATCTTAATAAATCTACTATACTTGGTATGGCGTTATAAAACTATCATGCTGTACACTCATAATGTTTACATATTCATTGTCTATTTCCAGAAGGATACTCAAGAAACAATGTCTCCAGAAAGTGAACGGCGACTGGGCAGAGAATTCTTTTCACTGTGTACTTTTTGAATTTTTTTGCCACATAAATGTACTTATTCAAAACTAAATAATTTTTTAATTTAAAAAATGCTTCCACATAGACTTTCTCTGAAAAGAGAAGACACTGCCAACAGTAACTTGCTTCCAAACAGAGAAACAGAGTGGCTGGGAGACAGAGGTAGAAGGGAGAATTTMGCTCTGCTTTTTTTGGGTACCTTTTTAATTTGTACCATATGAATGTATTAAACTCTTGAATAAATTTTTTTAAAGTAATATGTAGTATTTCTAACAGTTTCTCTTTACCCTTTTGAATTATAGCTTACTTGATTTCAGAATCAAATTGATTCTGTGAGCCAAACAAAGGATGAAGCTAAGTGTTCTCAGCAAAAATCATGAAGCTACATAAATAAAATCATTTCCTCAAACCACTTTCCAACAAAATTTAAAATTATATAGGGAACAAAAATACATTGTAATCTATTAAATCTCATTACCTACAAAATAGGCACATTTTAAAACTTTTAAGTCAAGATATTCCTTCAGATACCATCTTAATTCTGGAGTAAAAAAAAAAAATTGAAAAAAAATTATACTCTGTATGCCCAATGAAGAAAATATTACTTGCTTAGTATTCAATTATGTAAAGAAGAGTATTTATTTGCATTCCCTATAATGACTAAATCCAAAAAAKTTCAAATTATTTCAGTATGACTCTTATTATCTAAAGAAAAATGGTTATTTGGCATTAGTATAAGCTCAGTGTAATTCATCCTAAACCAGTAAAAAATCAATTTAAAGATAATGTAATTCAAACCCTCATTCTACGATATAGAAACTAAAGCCTAAAAATGTTAACTTAATCTTGTACAACATATATGTGGAAAGAACCRTCATTGAACCCCAATGTTCTGCCCCTTCAACAAGAATGCTTTGGAGACTTGCCTCTAACAGGACATAAAGTTACCAAGATTGTCCTTCTGGGCTCTGTTTTAAATAATTAAATACAATAATTAAACATCATTGAATTTCTTAACAGTAAACTGAAATGTTCATGATTTAATAAAGGGAAACAAGGAATAAATCTTAAAATTATTTTAATTAACATAATCTCTTACTACCAATAACATTAGTAATTTCTCTGCATCAGAAGTAGATTCTTTTTAATATTTGCTTTTAGTTATAGTTGGACATAACACCTTTATTTATTTATTTTTATGTGGTGCTGAACCCAGTGCCACAACCCCAGTCCCAGAAGTGCATTCTTAAAATAGTCAACAGGCTATTTAGTTAATAAAAAGCTTTATTTTTAAACAAATCCTAAAAAAATCAACTTTATAAATTTATCAATTTTTAAATATAAGGAAGGACTGGAAATACATACATCAAATTATTCTTTCATTAACATTAACATACTTCTCTAAACAAGTTAATATGTGTACAAATACATAAATACATACAAATAAATACACACACCCAAATAACAAGCCACAGATCACCCACCATTATCCAAAACCAAAATATTCATTAAATATATTGACAAATACAGCAAAATATCAATGGACATAATTACATACATATATATGCATAAATACCGAGACCCAAAGTAACATGTAAACATATAACACTGGTGCTTATATACATATAATGCATAAACACACAGCTCAGTCAGAAAGTCAGAGTGATCTACAGAACATATAATAATGTTGTGGCCTTTTCACCATGAATGAAAACTCAACAGTATACAAAGAAATTGAGATTAATGAAATTTTCACGCTTTTCAATATTAAAAACAAAGGAACACACACAAAAAATCAAGACATTAATGCCAATCCCCTACTGCCACTGAATTTTTTATAAGTTGAAATGTGAAGTGAACTTCAAAGACTTAACAGCACAGGGAAGTTGACAACTCTTACGTAGAATAAAGATTCTATGATAAATGAAATCACTGAATGCAAACAAACATTCTATAAAATAAGCTAAATTCTTTTTACTTTGAAGGCCCTGCTAGAGACTTGTTGTTGCTCTAATTCATGGCCTTGAGAGGCAAAACTAAAAAAGCTGTTGCTGGCTTCAGGTGCTGTAGGAGAACCCACAAAAAATGGTCTAAACTGAAAATCTCCATCTCCACCACCCTGATTTCGAACTGGTGTATTGTCCAAAGGAAACTTGGAGCTGTTACCTAGAAAAAAAATTAGGGCGATAATAAGCATCTATTTCCTCATAGATCCTTAGCAACAAAAAACCAAAATCCATTCAATAAATACTGTAACAAAACTCACCCAAGATGGATAAAATACAAACATAATACTAGATTTAAAAAAGGACCCTAATGTCCCCACCTCTCCCTCCCCATGACTAAAGTTATCTACAATACCTTCTGTGATGCAGTTTCCATTGATAGCCATAATTTCATTGCCAAAGTTATCTGACACAATGAAACATTTTTAGTAGTACTAGAATTCACAACATCATAATTGAATTAATTTGTTACCCATTTCAGAGGAATCATCAAAAATACATATATGCACATGATCCTTTGTGCCATGTTTTTCAATAATTTTTTTTCTTTCTATTTAGAACTGGGGATTGAACCCAGGGCTTCATACATACTAGTCAAGCACTCCACCACTGAGCTATATCCCCAGCCCTATTTTATTTTATGTTTTTTTATTTTGAGTCAGGGTCTCATTAAGTTGCCCAGGATGGCCTCAAACATGGAATATTCCTGCCTTGGTCTCCATCGTACCTGGGATTACAGGTGTGTGTCACCATACCAGAAGGAATTTAAAAATATATATATATTATTTTTTTTTGTAATACACACTCCAGAAATATACGACAACCATGAAATATTGCCATATACACATGACTCAATAACAATTAGCATAACTTTATGGAAAATCAGGTAATAGATGTGATCAAATGAACATTTAACTACTTCTGCTGGGCACTTCCTTAGATTTTTAGTTTTCTTAGACTATAAAAAGGAAAATGCTGACTGTATGTAAAAAGCTAAAAAAGAAAGAGGTAAAAAGGTAAGTAYATACAATGAGAAGAACAGAAAGAACAGATAAATATGAAAGAAATCAAAATATATGTGGACAGTGACAGGAAAATAATACCTACAATATCCACTTACAGAAATACTTTGGTTGACTAAACTACAATATAAGTAAGTGAAAGTTAGGTACTTGTTAGGCAGGGTACCTAACAAAAAGTTGGTATCATCCTAGATTGTGAAGGCAGTATTACTATCTGGACAATCTTTATATCTCATTGTTTAGAGAGATATAAAGATGCATAACACAACGGCACATGAAACACTGGATAAACATTTGATGAGCAGATAAAAAGGTAAATTTAAAAAAGAACCAAACAACAGGCAATAATTTGAGAACTGTGCGGCCAGTATTGACATGTGAAAGAAACTAAAACAAGGTCTTCCTGGAGGATGCAAACAGTTAAGAGTATAGGCTATGTGATCTTGACCAAGTTAATTAACTTTCTGTTCCTTAGCTTTCTCCTTTCTCACTTACAAAACAGGGATAAAAAACAGTATTTATTTCACATAGGTTTGTAAATTATATGAATACATGTAAGACACTTAAAACGGTACTTAGCACTTAGTAAGAAATCAATAAGTGGCAGCTATTATTTATTACTGTAAGTAATTTTTAATTTACATTGTAATCTGCAAACTTATATCTTAAAATATATTAAAGGCATACTATGAACGTAAGCAAATATAATAGGTAAAAAAATGATGTGAGGTTGAGATACAGATGAAAGATTCATAACCTATCATGGCTCTAGACCCTTGGAGCCTTCACTCACAGCATGGAACTACACAGAGTACAGTGAGAAAAATCCTTGATTTGAAAAACAGATATTGGATAGTTTTCTTAGACTATGAAGAGGAAAATGCTGACTGTATGTAAAAAGCTAAAAAAGATAGAAAAAGTAAAAGGGTAAGTATGTACAATGAGAAGAACAGAAAGAACAGATAAATATGAAAGAAATCAAAATATATGTGGACAGTGACAGGCATATGCCTGTAATCCCAGCTACTTGGGAGGCTGAGGCAGAAGAACCACAAATTCAAGGCCAGCCTGGGCAATTTAGTAAAACCATCTCTCAAAATAAAATAGATGTAGCTCAGTGGTAGCAACTTAGAAACTTGCTTAGCATGTGAGGCCATAGGTTCAATCCCCAGTACAACAAATATATATATATATGTATATATGTATATATACATATACACACACACACACACACACACACACACACACATATATATATACATATAACGTGTCTTTTCTTACCTAATGGGAAGCTAAAAACACCAGACTGTGCTACCAAAGATGGTTCAAGAGTACTTTCTTGGTTAGCAATAGTGATATTCCGTAGCCTAAGGCTATCATAGAGACCTTGGAGCTTTTGATACTGACGATTGCGCTCCATAAGTTTCTCTGAGATGTCACTGAACTTTTTCTTGTATTCTTCTAGCACTTTCTTCATAGAGGTGACCTCCCCTTTCATAGAGGTCAATTCTACATCTTTGCTCTGTATTTGCTGAGTATATATTTTCTCCATCTGTTTCAGATGACCCTCAGCCTTGCTAAAATTATATTCTTGATAGAGACGTTCCTGATGTACCTGTCCCAAGAAAGAAAATATTTTTAAAGTAAGGAACACAAAGTTATATAATGTAAAACTTCATACAAGCACAAAAAGTAAACACAAGGATGTTATAACTTGAACATTTAGAACCATATTAACTGAGGAGCCAGGCATAATAGCTCATACTTGTAATCCCAGCAACTCAAGAGGCTGAGACAGGAGAATATCCAATTTGAGACCAGCCTGGACAATTTACTGAAACCTGAAGCAAAATAAAATATAAAAAGGATAAAGATATAGCTCAGTGATAGARTGTTCCTGAGTTCAATGCCCCATAACAAAACAAAAAGAAATTAGGGATATAGGATGTAGCTCAGTGGTAAGAGTGTTTGCCTAGCACACACGAGGCTCTGGGTTTCATTCCCAGTATCACAAAGAAAAAGCAATTAGTTGAGCATGGTGATGCACACTTGTAATCCCAGCAGCTCTGGAGGGTAAGAGAGGAGGGATCTCAAGTTCAAAGCCAGCCTCAGCAACTTATCAAGGCCCTAAGCAATTGAGCAAAATCGTCTCAAAATAAAAAACAAAATAAGTAACTAGTTAAATTATGGAATCAACCCAGATGCCTGTAAATAAATGATGGATTAATAAATTGTGGAAAATATATACACACAATAGAGTACTATTCAGCCATGAAAAAGAATGAAATTTTGGCATTTGTCAATAAATGGATGGAAATGGAAAATATCATGCTTAAGCCAAACTCCAAAACTCAAAGTTCGTTTTCTCTCATATAGGGAAGCTGGAGTAAAATAAAGGAAAAGGGGAGGGAAGATAAAATAAAGAATCAATCAAACATAAATTAATAGACAAGTAAAAGAAAGTCTAATACAGTAGAGGAAGGGGAATGGAAGAGGAGAGGGGTGATGGGAAGGGAAAGAGAAGGATGATGAGCTGAAATCAATTTCCAGGTATGTATAAGTTTGTCAGGATGAACCCAGCTACTATGTATAATTATAAAGCTCTAATAATAATATCAATAAATAAATGTGTAAGATATAATAATATATTCAAGAGTATAATTAAAAGTTCTCCACAGGAAAGTCTCTAAGAAGGCAGCAAAGGCCAAAATCACAAACAGAAAGAGTTAAAGACATGAATTTGATGACAAGAATGCTTATCACAGCCTATTTTATAATTTGGAAACAAATTATACAATGCAATCATTAAAATTATGATTACATCAAATACAAAATATTTCAGGGTCTACGTAAAATATCAATAAAACAAATGATAAGTTTTATARGGGCTGGAGTTGTAGCTCAGTGGTAGAGTGCTTGCCTAGCATGCCTGAGGCACTGGGTTTGATCCTCAGCACCACATAAAACAATACACAAACAAAATAAAGGTATTGTGTCCATCTATAATGTAAAAAAATAAAAATAAAAGATATTGTCTAAGTTATAAGAATACTAGAAAATAAATATTTTTAAAAAATAAATAGATAAATAAATAAATAAATAAATGTTATAGTATTTGAGTTAGAGAACTACAGAGTATTCTAACAAATCAGTCCGAGTAATTCAAACAACCAAACTGAAACGGGCAATATGTTAAAAAAAAATGAAAAAATTCAAGAAAATATGTTCATCTAAAAGTTATCCAAGAAATGCATATTTAAAGAGCATTGAGGTTCCATTTCACCTGTATCTAACTTGGGAGTAGAAGACGTGGAAAACTAAGCACTCACATACATTTCTTGAGAGCAAATGAATGGATATACCATACTGAAAGACAATTTTAAAACATAATTTTTAAAAATCTTCAAACCTGGGGATGTGGCTCTGTGGTAGAGTGTTTATATATAATATGTGCAAGGCCCTGGTTTGATCCCACACACTACAAATAAATAAATAAATAAAACCTTCAAAATATATACAGCCACTTTCAGAAATTTGATCCTAGCATATAATAATGGATATGAATTTGATAAGAATGCTCCCCACAGCATTTTATTAATAACTTGGAAACAAACCATAATAGAATACAATCTTCAGAATTATAATTATAGAATACTAAACTGAAAAATATTTAACAAAATATTCATAACAGACATAACATATTGTCCACCTTATTTATGTTTACTTTTTATATTTTTGTGGTACTAGGGATCAAACCCAGGACCTCACACATACTAGACAAGCACTCTACTGAGCAATATCCCTAGCCCTGTCAACTTTAATTGGCCATAAAATCAGTATGTGTGGTTTTACCCTATTTTTATATAGAAAAAAATGTATGTATAAAACATATACTTACGCACAAACAAAAACTATTAACAATGAAATCTCTGAGTAATGGAATTACGGGGTTTTTTATTTTTCTCCTTTAAGATTTTCAACAATAAGCATTATTTTTGAAAACTGAAAACTTATTATTAAAAAGAATGTTTTCTATACTTTCATTAAAAATAAAATAAAAAATAAATACAAAACAATGAAGAAAAACTTCAGAAACTCCCATATGTGCCTCAGATTATATACTCTCAAAGAACCACTAGTCTAAGTACTAACCTGATATGTCCAGAAAGCCAGTGCCCGGGAGCTAATGTCTAACACAATCTCTGGTCGAAGCCCTGCCAACACCATAGCTTTATATTCCTCTGAAGGACTGAGTTCCGTGCGGACAATATCCAGCTTTCCAGAAAGGGTACTGTTGCAGGCAGGGCAGATAGCTGGTGAACGACTAAATTCACCACTGCCATGCTGATCACAGAAGATATGAGAACAGGCAGTGACCCAGGCATAACCGGAGAGTTTGATGCGACACTTTCGATAATTACAAAGCAACATGTCTTCACACAAAGACATGTTAATGAGATCTCCAGATGTTGAAGTCCTGATAAATGAAAAGGTAAATAAGGCACAATGAAAATAAAATTGTTTAATTACTTAATAACAAGTAAAATATAAATACATTGTTCGACTTTGTTTTGATAAAATGTACATGTTGTTGGTTTTTATTTATTATAATCGATATGATATATTGACTTGAGTCTCCCAATAATACTGTGCTCCTTCTTTGTACAAAGGCCATGAAAAAAAATGTAAGGAAAAATTAAATGCACAAGTGATACTAAATCTTACTAAGATCAAAAATAATATGTATATGGAAAAAACTTTAGAAACATAGCCAAAGTACAAACAAGTAAAATTTACATCAGTGCTTTTTGTCATTCTTCAATAACTAAACCAAAATTCAAATTTATTATCTACTCATACTTTGGCAAAATATGTTAGTACCACATCCCACACTTCGCAAACATAAAAATCCAGGCACAATTTCAGATATTTTGCAGTGCAAAGTATTTGAAGCTACATTTTTAGGTTTTTTCATACATGCTGATTTCTTAATCAGATTCCTTACCTGTGTTACTTTGATTACAAACACTAACTGGAAAAGAAAAAAAAAAAAAAAAAACACTAGCTACCTGTTTGCATAAAATAGAAACTAACCTAATTTATCCTAGTAATTGACCCTTATAAAGCCTGAAAATTTATATTAAAGCTGCTTTTGAGTTAAACAATCCATCTATTAATGAAAAAACTGTTCAATGCTATGCTTTGATTTAAAACATTTGTAAGAATAAATCATTTCTCTAGGTTAATTTACTTTTCAATAAAGTAAAATTCTCTCTGGAATTTGAGTAACCCAAAAATGGACACCAATATTTTAAGCACACCAAAACAAATCCCATATTACATAAAATAACTCTGGCACATCAATTACACCTAGGAAAAGTGTACACACTATCAACTGACAATTCTGCAAAGAACGTTTCCTTGGTCAGAGACATTCCAACAGTCCATCCCAAATGTCCTCAATGAGGACAATGATGTCACTTAGCAGCCAATAAGGACTATTTTACCCTCCACCTGGGTAACCAGCAAAGGGGAAGCAGAATATATGGGAAGTTTTGAAGCTGAGACCCTTTCCAGGCAAAGCCAGAGATGCAGCTAATTCCAAATTTTCCACAAGAAGGGGAGTAGAGAGCTATTACTATGGGCTTGTACAAGTTGAGGGCCAAATTTCTGAGAATTAAACCTATGGAAATTTCACTCTGGAATTTTCAGCCTCCTCTCTGCACTCGACAGAGAAAACAGTAATGATAATAAAAACAACAAAGAGRACACAAATAAAATATCTGACCTGAGAGGCAATGAAAAAGAGCGGGAAAAAAACACCACCTGTGAAGCTGCAGCTGAGGCGAGGATTCGCAGCGTGTCTCCGCTGTAGAGTGCGCATGCGCGTAGTCGCCCCGAGGCCTGCTGGGTGGCGGGCTTGGAGATGGGGCCGCTCAGGATCATGGGATCCACGGGCCCTACCTACCAGTCCAACGCCAGGGKGAGTGCGCAAGAGCTCAAGTCCAACCAACCCCATAGGTTTCCCACTTCCCAAGCAGGTGGCTGTCAACACTTGGTGCAACTCCTATTGAGGGGAAAGTGTCCTGAAGCTAAAGTGGGCGGGTAGAAGAGCCAGTTGGAGCCCCTGTCTCTGGTACAGGGAGGTGTTTGTCCTAGATAATGATGGGAGTTGCGGGCAAGCAGCACAAAGTATGTTTGTGGAATTCCCGAAAATTATTATGCCCATGCCCGTAATTGGAGCACTATCACTTTTATGCGGAAGATTCAGCCATTTTATTTTTGTTGTCCTTCAAATATAAATTTTCCCAGCTGTTACACACTCTCACACACACACACACACACACACACACACACGTATGTATCTATATGTGTGTGTGTGTATGTGTGTGCATATATAGACTTTTTTTAAAGAAATCATAATTTTTTCCTTGAGTCTACATTACAATCATTTATATAGTGCTTAAAATTAAGTGATAGGACTGGCAGTGTCATGAATTTTGAGGTAATCTTATATGCACTCCTGGAACTGCTGGTATCTGTTTTTACTTTAATGTCTCACTTRTCAATTTTCTTGGCTCTTTTATAACAATGTAATTTTCTGCTTAATCTACATGAGCCAGTTACAATTGAGATTTAAAATTAGACTGGAGGCTGAGACAGGAGGATCCCAAGTTCAAAGCCAGCCTCAGCAAAAGCAAGGCTGCTTAGCAACTCAGTGAGACTCTGTCTCTAAATAAAATACAAAATACAGCTGTGGATGTGGCTCAGTGGCCCAGTGCTCCTGAGTTCAATCCCCATTAGCCAAAAAATAAAAATAAAATTGGATTGAAGAGAAGGGCTAGAAGGGTGCTCAAGATGAAAACTCTAATGCTGTCTTTTGTAGCCACCTTTTCAGATTACATGACCTAATTATGAATTAATAACAGATATAGTGCACCACACAATGGACACAAAACTCTGCAAACCCCTTTCTGACTTGCAAATCCATAATACTGAACCTCTCCTTCAAACAAAAACCTGTCCTAAGTAAGCAACTTTCTGCTAGGAATTTAATGTTACTGGCACAAATTGGAGTCAGAGAAAATTGGAGGTTCATGTGTAAACCATGTATTCCTTAATTTTTTTTGCAAATTAAGCAGTTTGTGCTTTTTTAAGTTTTAACTATACCAAATGCAGAATGATTAAAGTACAAAAATGGTATATGATTTCATTTGAAGTTCAAAAAGACAAAGCATTGAGATTTCAACCAGTCACTAACTTTGTGATCCTAAACAAGTTACCTTCATAATATAATCTCTTCCTGCATATGTATCCCAATTAATACATACTTTGTGTTAATTCATTTTAATAGTCACATACTACAAATATACCAATTTATATATTCTTCTAATGGACATTCATTCCAGGTTACAATTAAAACCAGCACTACACTGAACCTTCTGAACATTTCTCCTTGAGTACACATGCCAAAAAATTTTATAGAATACAATACCCAGGGACTAGGTTAACATATAAGCATCTTTGAATAAATCAGATGTTACCAAATCACTGTCCATAGCAATAATATAGATTTCACTGCCACCAGCAAAATATATAAGAACCCACTGCTCCAGAATCAGCAACATACAGAATTGTCAGGATTCTTTCTTGTTTTGTTTTGTCTTTTCATGTTTGTCCATCTGATAACAGGAAAATAGTAATTAAATGTTGTTTTAATGAGCGAGTCTCTGATTACTTATGAGGTTGAACATATTTTCATGTAAGTGACTACATAAAGATCCCCATCTGTAAATTTCATGTTCATATTCTTTGATAATTTTTAAAATATTTTTAATATCTTTATTTTATTTATTTTATGTGGTGCTGAGGATCAAACCCAGTGCCTCACATGTGTAAGGCAAGCACTCTGCCACTGAGCCACAACGCCAACCCAATATTTTTGATTTATATGAAGACAGTTATGTGGCATGCAAATATGTTTGAATTTTAGTGTACATAAATTTATCAACTTTTCCTTTTATGTTTGTCTTATTCTATACTTTCAGTAGTTGTCTTGTTTTTCATATGCAAATCTTTAATTCATCCTTCCTACCATAAATATTCAATGTTTTCAATAGTTTTAAGGTTTTACTTTTCATATATACATCTTTAATACATACTTTCTAACATAGGAAGTCTGAATAACAGTAAGAGTTGTAAAAGGAAAAGTGGCCACAACATTCAAGAAAACAAACATTCCAACCTTGGTCTTTGATAGAAATGGTAGCTTAGTTAAATTTCAAGGTTATTTTTAACATGCAAGTGATACAATACACAACAAAATATTGGAAATGATGTATTTCATCTGCTTTTAGAATGAGATTTCACAGTTAATACTGACTACACAAAACAAAACCAACTCAGAATAAAGCAGAAGATGTATTCTAGTGGTAGAACATGTTTAGCATGCAAAAGTTCTGGGTCCAATCCCCAGTGCATTTGTGCTCGCAAGCACGAACTACTCATAATAAAATTATAGGTAAGAAAAAATTTGTGTGAGACTCTATTTACCAAAGCAATCTAGAGATACTACTAAGAAGGAAAAAAACAATAGGTTTCAAGTGGTAGCTGTGCTCAACTTGATCAGAGAAGTAAATGATTATTTTGATACTTTTTTTATAGCCAAAACCTTAGAATTTCAACAGAAAAGTTTGAACACCTTGAAAACATGTTTCTTGGTGGGTTTTTGTTTGTTTGTTTGTTTTGTTTTTGGTGGGGGGAGTTGTTTTGTTTGGGTTTGGTTCTTTGCTTGTTGGTTGGTTTTTGCTTTTGAGACAGGGTCTCACTATGTTGTTGACTCTGGCCTTGAACTCCTGGGCTCAAATGATCCTCCTGCCTTGACCTCCCAAAGTAACTAGGAAGTAGCACCACCACATCCAGCTTTTTCTTTTATTTCTCTCTTTACCGATTTAAGTCAATTGTTTTCTGTTTTTATATAAACTAGTGAGTGTTCATGAGTGGTATATTATTCATGAAGTAATTTCAAGAACATTGAGTTCTAAGCTCTTACAGCACAATTTGTGCTTACACATCATTTACATAATTTAATTGCCTGTTACTTTTCACCTTTCAAAAAATGTTATTTTGGAAATTAATTGATGTGAAAATAAACTTAGGATCCCCTACGGAAGCCAGAGGGAGGCAGCATTCTGTGTTGCTCCATGACCTGGGATTCAAATAGTGACAATACTGCTTCTCTGTTAGCGATATTCCTGCTCCCGTGCAGGAATCATTGTACTGGTCCAGAGCTCCAGGTCTCCGTGTCAGAGTAGGTCTCCAACTACTCGTCCACTCAGGACTACCAGGTACCCCAGCGAGATCATCCGTAGCAGCAGCACCCCTGAAGAACTTTCGGCCACCCACCTGAGCAGAAATCACAGACGCCACTCCCATGCAGGACACTGGCAGCAAGAATAGGAACTCCAGTTGTCGCCC